TGGATTATCGGGAAAATACGCAGCCGCGATTGACGCCACATGTGTCCCATGACTCGCTGTAATATAATTCAATTAAAAGAAAAAGTCTAACAGAAGAAAATCAGCATTTAATTTTACAAAATTTTAATATGATTTTTTGTCATACTTACAGCATAAGCTGACAATTTCTAATGTATTGCCTTCATCATGAACATTAATACTAATATTTAACTGGTCTTCCTGAGTAAGAGGCGCAAATTCTCTCGTGACAGAATATTCACCAAGAAAAACGCCAGTTTCCAGATTACCCACTTCAGTCGTATCAATACATGCTCTGCCGCGGAAAAGATATGCATCAAATTAAACAAGTAAATACAATGCAAATGACTTAGATTTCGAACAAATAGATATGTGCATATTTAGGTTTATCACATACTCGGAATATGATTACCTCCAAATGTTACCATCGTGGAAAACAACGCAATCGTAAGTAGGTCCCACATCGCAATACTTTTTTTCAATATTATTCAATATTTCAACTCGAGCTTCGAATTCTTCCTTTTGCAGTCTTTCTTCCGAAGTCGATAATTGTGGATTTTTACTCTCAAATTCCTGCACATTATATATGAGAATATTATATAACTATAATTTTTTTATTAATATAAGATGTCCCGAAATTCGCGAAGCAAAATAGCAAGAAAACCTTTCGAAAAATTAAGTAAAAAAAGTTATGTAAATTTTTATTTTAAGCAGTAGTTTTTAATACAAGAGTTTAAATTTAGCCAATTATAGATTAGTACCCGCGTGAAGTGTGCGACCGTTAACACTATCGACGCGCTCACGGAAATGTTTCCGTTTAGCCGTAATCTGTAATTGTCTAAATTTAAACTCTTATATCAAAAACTACTACTTAAAATAAAAATTTACAAATAACTTTTTTTACTTAATTTTTCAAAGACTAGCTATAATATTTTAATTCGCGAATTTCAGGACACACTATATAATTATCAATCACCAATTATTAATGAAAAATTAATACATTGATATAACCTCATTTTATAAATTAATACAGAACAATAAACATTTTAATAAGAAGAAAATTGCTTATAATAATTTAATTCAACATATAAAATACATTTTTAATTATAATAAAGTTTTATGCCAATAATATACGTTTATATCTTTAATTTCTTGCATTTATAAATTCATCTTTTTTATTTTTTGCACGCTTCTTTGCACTTATAAATTAATTTAAATTATGTACTATAAAAATATCACAAAATTAATAAAAAATATGCTACACACATGTAGCGCATATAATAGGCTTTGCTTCAGTATATATTATATAATAGAATCAATGCCTTTACAATAGATCAATCTGCCAAATACAAATATAGCATTAGATACGGATCACTGTGACGTGTTGTGAAATAGCGGCCTCATTTAATTGCATGGTTTGACATGCTCACGACATTCCTATCTTTGGATCACATGGACTAAAATTCTAATTATAATGCTACTCAGATATTTCTACCGTTTTCCAGTAATTATTGCGACACGCCAGTAATATTATAATTATGTATGCATCAAGGAAAAAAATAGCAACGTGACGTTGCAAACATTGGAAATTTCTATGAAATTTCTTAAATGAATATATCTTGATATGTTAAAAGAATAAAATGAAAAATTAATAACAGACATTATTAGCATATTTAATTCGATTCCAATATTTATATATGCCTTTGTTTAAGATTATAAAAGATTAATTGCAAAAGTTTTGAAAGTTGCAAGTAAAAAAGTGAGGTGAATTGTAAATCCATTTTGGAAACAATATAAATTGAAAGTATCAATATATTGTAATAAAACATTATACCTGTAATTGTCTGGAAGCTTCTGCAAGTGCTGCTTTATGTCCATCATCCCAAAGACGTTTCTTGCGTTCAGCAGCTACTCTTTCCTTTAATTTAGTAGGATATAATGAATACAGATTCTTCAAACCAATGTGATATTCTCCACTAGGATTATTCCAAGTAGATGGAACCTAAACACCACATAATTCATACATATACTATGTGTGCTGTTATATTAAATAAATAACAGTATTTATATTTTATCTTATTCACAATTATACAATATTAGTATATATATATCTTTATATCAGCATAATTTTATATGTCGACCTTAATAGATTATATATCTTCGATCTTAATAGATTTACTTCTGTGTTTACTCAGACTTGTAACTGATAATTTAAAAATATTTTAAAAATATTAGGTTATAAATAAAAAAAATATACACAGCATGATTTTTTAAAGCAATATCTCTTCTAAACAATCAAACAGTTTATAGCAAACATACCTTTAATTTACGACCTGTCAGACCAGTTATATATCCATCTGGCGCTTGAACAACTTTGCTAGTATCTACATCCCCTGCTCCGCTGCAGTCAAATCTCTCAATAATTTTTGGTTTCCCATCTGAAGTCACCTAAATCCCACGTACATTTATAAATATTTATTTTCCATTAAAATTTATTATTAAAGTTATATAGTTTTCACATTTAAAAGATATAAATTTGACAAAGATTGCTTGAAAGTACAGTACATATAAAGAAAGTAAAAATGACAGTAGTGCAACTTCAAAGTTTGCTATTAAATAAATATACTGACAAAAATCATGGCATAATACGAAAGTAGGTCCTACAAATTTGAAATTACTGTAACAAAGCTCAGTTGCAGTTAACAAATTTTAAGCTATTATCAATACGACAAAGCCCATGCAACAGCGGCTCTCTGACACTCGACAGAATTTCTTCACGACATGACAATGCCATCACTGCCATCGGGAGGATCGTCATATGGAGCAAAAGTAAACGAACGGCATGACTTTTATCTTTCAATAGAGATATGTAGTTGGCGAGATGCGGGGGAGGGGAGGGGGGGACAAATAAGGATAAGGAGCGCAGGAAACGGTACTCCGGTCTATAGACACGTTTACCCCTCCAAGATTTTGCACTCGAGGTTTCCGGGGAAACGGTGGAGGGCCTCGAATGAAGAGAATTAGAGCGCCCTACGGGAGGCGTGTCGACCGAATATAACCAATGCTCGCGAGGGGGGCTTACACCCTCGCCGCTTACCTGCATACCCGGAGCCCCGGGGTCCACCCCCGAGTCGAGGATCGCAATGACGACACCCCGGCCATCGTACTCGGGATACTTGGTGAGAAACTGTGTGACACCTGTCTCTTTCTTAGGCAGCAGGCCCCAAACAGGAAAGTTACAATCGATGATGTCTGCCATGTTTCGAGTGCCACTGCCACCGTGACTGCAGGAAAACCACCCGACCCGAGATGTTTCCTTTGTACTGCCGTAGCCTTATATATCAATCGAAGAACGGGCTCTGCGCCTGCGTACGCGCCAGTTGGATGCGCCAATTTTTGAGGTTAGGTTAACGACAGACGGTACATACATACTACATACATATATGTATTGCACCCGTGCTGTCAAGAGATGGCTAATTCACAAGCCGAGTTTTTTTACGCTAATTTCATTTTTATAGATGCTTTACAAATAAACATGCTACTCAACACAATATTATATATATTGTCATAAAACTGCATTATTTTTTCCCCTATAATTTTCATCCGCATAAATAACCTTGGAGGTGATAATCATTAAATAGAAGCATCAATGCTTCTCTCTGATAGGAGTGCAATTTTATATATAACTCGAATATATTATTTACAACATTTTATAATTTGTGCTAATATCTACACGATAATATTCGATATAGATATACATATATCTACAAATCGTCGACATGATATAATTAATTAATTAATAAAATAAATCGCAGTCTTTTTCATGGGATCACAAAATTTCCTCCTAAAAGTCCACTACAATGAGAGTAGTAAGTCGTAAGTCGTAAAAAAATTGACTAATCAGAGTCGAATATGAAAAGAATAATCAATTGTGATTGGTCAATTTCTTATGACTTACAATTTACTACTCTCATTGTAAATGAACCTTTATAGTAAAATATGTGAAGAATAATCGACTCTGATTGAACATTCATTTTTACGGCTTACTACTTACTACTTTCATTGTAGATGGACCTGTAAAGGTCCATCTACAATGAGAGTAGTAAGTCGTAAGCCGTAAGAAATTGACCAATCACAGTCGATTATTCTTCTCATATTTGAATATGATTGTTCAATTTCTTACGATTTACTACTCTTATTGTGAATGGACCTTTAAGATCCATTAGCAATAAAAGTAGTAAGTCATAAGTCGTAAGAAATTGATCAATCACAGTCAATTATTCTTCTCATATTCGACTGTAATTGGTCAATTTCTTACGGTTTACGACTTACTACTTTCATTGTAGATGGACCTTTACAGGCTGTCTGCAATGAGAGTAGTAATCGCAATCCGTAAAAAATTGACCAATCACAGTCGAGTATAAAAAGAATAATCAAACTGTGATTGGTCAATTTCTCGCGGCCTACAACTTACTACTGAACTCCTCATTGTAGACAGTCCTGTAAAGGTCCATCTACAATAAGAGTAGTAAATCGTAAGCAGTATAAAGGTCCATTTACAATGAGAGCAGTAAGTCGTAAGCCGTAAGAAATTTACCAATCACAGTCGATTATTCTTCTCATATTCGACTGTGATTGGTGAATTTCTTACGGCTTACGACTTACTACTCTCATTGTAGATGAACTTTATATTGGCGGCTCCAATTCAGCGATGTAGGAACTAAGTAGCACATCCATTTTAGAGACACTGTCGATAATATCGTCATGTCGAAAGCGGTGCGTGTCCGTGCTATATCCACAAATTGTGAGGTTGTAAAAAATATATAACATATAGATATATAATTATAATTATAGTAATTATTCAGTCTAGAGGCCCTACCTTCAATTTTGATAAATATATAATTATTTTTATAATTTTATAATTATATTATAATACAATCAACACTGCGATTTTATCGACAATGTCGCAAAATGGATTGGACGTTGGTGCCGCCAAGTGTGTAGGAGAGTTGTTGTTCTGCCTTCTGCGTCGTCGGTCGTCCCGACTGGTCCCGACGAGAAGGACAGGGATGGCGAATCTCAAGTCTCTCTCTGGCGCCGCGCGTCAATAATCACAAAGGCACGTCGCGTGGTGCAGGTTCATCTTGGAAGCATCTCACGGAAGCGCGATCGAACGCACGTTCGGTCGGTTTGCCCGTGTTACCGCGGCCGAGGAGGTTATGTTCCCTGGCCCGCCGTGCGTGTATTTTGAATCGGTAGCCAAACTGGCTCGACTCCGCGGACGCGCGTTTCCCGTGTCACGGCGCGGGAGAACGCGACGCTCGTCGTTGCCGTCAGTCGTCGGGCCGCGACGGGAGTGACGTAAGCGCGACATCCGAGCGAGTCATGTGCAAATTTAAAGCATGGTTGTCACGCAACGGAAGATGAAGCAGATTGCGATCTTTGCGGTTTGCGTGCTGCTGGGTGAGTCCCTCCGCGTTAGGTTATAAGTGGGGTGCCCCCGGAACGAGGGGCTTTCGCACCGTTCAAGCACGTACCAAAGTCAGGATCCGAGCAGATCCGAAATTCGCATCGCGGATCCTGTCAGTCTATTTTGACTCCTTTGCGCCGCGGGGCAAACGTGATTTATTCACGGCTAATTGCACGCCACGGTCGGACGTGCGATAAGTTCAGCGACTGCGAACTCACTCGCGCGTCATAATTTCCGCTCGGTTTCGCGAATTCGACGTCCCAAGCGATTCTTCAAATCCCTCCAATTTAAATCCCTTTTCTCCCTTTCGCCCCATAATTTGATTGTTAATGTCGTTCAGCGTAATTGTTTGTCTTTTAAATTTAAGTTCGTATGTTACGTTTTACGTAACGACAGTTGTACGATTTTATCTTTACACTTTACCACCGCGTGAAGAAGAAATTAGCTACGTTACGTTGCAAGAACAGCAGAAGTGTTTGAAAGTGTCGCCCGACGTGTTATCTCTCGTGTATTTATAACACCTAGCTACGTAAAACTCGATAAAAGCCGACCTTAACTCTGAAAAATGAAACGTACGAACGAAAATTTTCTGAAGGTTGCAACAAGTCGTCGCAAGAATGAGTTTCCGTTAAATAAAATGAGGGACGAATATTCTCAAATTAATTTTTTTTCTTTTTACGTAAATTGAAGCGCGTAACATCGATAAAAGGCGCCTCTTATCGCGATACGAATCGTTGCCATAATTAACCACCGGCGACTATCCGTCGCGATCGTCACATTATCAAGAGATATAATCTACGTGTTTTTATCGGTAATCGAACATCTGGTTTCAATCAAAGTCGTTACGAAAAAAACGAAGGTCTTCGTGTTCTTTTTTCGCTTCAATTCACTCAAGTGCTGCCTTGGATTATTTCGGTATATAAATGTAAACAAAAACAACTGAGCGCGAATAAAAAAGTTAGTCTTCCGATCTTGTTTTTCATAAAACAATGAGAATTGGATTAACATATAAATTCAACATAGACGATCGGAAAGCTTTTGAGGCGCGCGAATATAAGCAGCGTATAATTTATGTAATTATATAACATTTAGCCGCGCGTTCGCACGGAGCATCACTGCTCAACGAGCGTTGGAGAGTAAAACAATTGTAGAGCGGGCACATTTCTTTTGGGCATTAGCTGCTGCTGTTGCCCGTGTTCCATTTTGTAAATTGAAAAAAGATTGTTATTAGTAACGATGCATTAAATGAAAAAGTTAAATGTTACGAAAAGCAAAAAGTTTATCGTTCTATCGGGCTGAAAATTTTGCTGAAATATTATGCCACTTTAAATCAAAATTCACTTAATTATGAAGTAATATGCGTAATGCGATAATGGATAACGCTCGAGTACTATTTAATGCATTTAACGCAGGTGCGTGTCTCCCGTATTTCTTCCGAGCCAGTCTATAAAATATATCCGATTTTATTTATTTTAAAAAAGGACTCCTCTCTTGCACAAAATTATAATTATTTTATTTATTAGTGTAAAATTATTTTACCTATTATTACGATTACAAACGTAATTATTTTATTGTTCTATCAGGCTGAAAATTTTGCTAAAATATTATGTCACTTTAAATAAAAATTTATTTAATTATGAAGTAATATGCGTATATGCGATAATGGATAACGCGCGAATGTTATTTAATGCATTTAACGCGAGTGCGTGTCTCCCGTATTTCTTCCGAGCCAGTCTATAAAATATATCCGATTTTATTTATTTAAAAAAAAGAACGCCCTTTTTGCACAAAATTAGAATTATTTTATTTATTAGTGTAAAATTATTTTACCTATTATTACGATTACAAATGTAATTATTTTATTGTCCTATCAGGCTAAAAATTTTGCTGAAATATTATGCTACTTTAAATAAAAATTTATTTAATTATGAAGCAATATGCGTATACGCGATAATGGATAACGCGCGAATATTATTTAATGCATTTAACGCAAATGCGTGTCTTCCGCATTTCTTCCGAGCCAGTCTATAAAATATATCCGATTTTATTTAAAAAAAGGACTCCCCTCTTGCACAGAATTAGAATTTTATTTATTAGTGTAAAATTATTTTACCTATTATTACGATTACAAATGTAATTAATTTTATTGCCGTTGAAGACTTTAATTTAATTAGGTATAAAGAATAGGTCTAATCCCAGATTCGTAATATCGTAATATTTCTCACTGTTACCCTCGTAACAGTCCTAGGCTTTTACAAGACTCTGGTGACTACGGAAGAGGAACGATCTTTTAACCGCGGTCGACACCGCGCCGTTCTCGGCGTGAATAAAGTTAATTTAGACGACAAGAACGAGCTCGCCGAGGACGCGACGCAAAAGATTCGCAATGTCGGGGACGAGCCGTCCGACGGGGACATCAGGGACATCGAGGAGGCGAAGGTTCGGATCCGCGAGCTCGAGGGTAAGCTCCAGCATCTGGAGGCGGCGATCAAGAACGGAGTGGCGAAGGACTTCCCGACGGTGAAGTTCCTAAATTACAAGAATCGGAAACGAATTCTGGTGACGGGCGGCGCGGGTTTCGTCGGCTCCCACCTGGTGGATCGGCTGATGCTCGCCGGACACGAGGTAATAGTCGTCGACAATTTCTTCACCGGCAGAAAGCGAAATGTGGAGCACTGGGTCGGTCACGAGAACTTCGAACTGGTGCATCACGACATCGTGAGGCCGTTGTATCTAGAGGTCGACGAAATCTATCATCTCGCTAGCCCGGCCAGTCCGCCGCACTACATGCTGAACCCCGTGAAAACGATCAAGACAAATACCTTGGGCACCATAAATATGCTTGGTGAGTCAGCTGCGTGGAGGTTAAATTTGAAAACGGAGGAAAACTATTCGAGGATATTCGATTATGTAATCTATATTGACGGTATTATTTCAGGACTCGCAAAACGAGTCGGCGCACGAGTATTAATTGCGAGCACGTCGGAAGTTTACGGGGATCCGAATGAGCATCCGCAGGCTGAAACCTACTGGGGTCACGTAAATCCTATCGGTAAGATTCTGTGCGATGTAATCAGATTTTTTTTCTTTACCTTCAAATTGTAGTCGACACTTCGATACAATTGACAATACTGTTGGAAATGCAGGTCCGCGGGCATGCTATGACGAGGGAAAACGGGTTGCCGAGACGTTGAGCTATGCTTACATGAGACAGGAAGGCGTCTCGGTCCGAGTTGCACGGATTTTCAATACTTTCGGCCCGAGAATGCACATGAACGACGGTCGTGTCGTGTCGAATTTTATCCTCCAGGCTCTACAAAATGATTCGATCACCATTTACGGCAGTGGGAAACAGACGCGATCATTTCAATACGTTTCCGATCTAGTGGACGGATTAGTAGCACTAATGGCATCTAACTACACCTTGCCTGTGAATATTGGAAATCCTGTCGAGCATACGATCGAAAGTAAGAACTGCTTGTTATCTTAATCATTTGACAATATATATTTGTGATATTTATTGAAGTTTAATATTCTAATTTGCCTCAGAATTTGCGCGTATAATAAAAGACTTGGTGGGTGCTACCAGTGAAATTATTGAACTCGCAGCGGTCGAGGATGACCCGCAGAGAAGACGACCGGACATTAGCAGAGCGAAAAAATATTTAAATTGGGAGCCCAAGGTTCCTTTGGCTGAGGGACTGAAAAAAACCATAGTGTATTTTGCAAAAGAATTGCAAAGGACAAAGCATTCTCAAAAAAGCAGCTTTAAACAGTCTTCTTACAAAAACGATCACGACATTGTAGAACAACTTTAGAGAATCAAGTTTAATGATACGATTAATGTATCCACTTTCGGAAGTGGCGTGAAAGTGCCATTAAACTATGGACCAGTATGTGCCAAAAAATCCCCCGTCCAATTTGAATTTTGTATAATTTATATATAGCAATCAACACATAAATACACTTACAATATGCGATCATTTAAGTAATTAGTCTGTCAAACTTCTTCCAGTCAGGTGCACATGCTATGTCCTTTGTAGGCGTAATAATTTAAAATATACTTTTATTTCTTTTTCCATGATTCCCTCTCCATAGCTCTCTATTTCTTTTATTAATTTCTTAATTCCAAATATATAATCAATAATACATCGACAATATATTTTATATCAGAGTGCATAGATGTTAAATAGGAAATTTTCTTCTATCTCATATTTCAGTGTATTTCATATATTTATAATTTTTATAGAAGAAGAATTGAAAAATGGTGCTGGTGACATAAGTATTGTTTTCCTTTTTTTACGTACTCGATCGCATATTAATTTGAAAATGAGGTAATTTCGCTTATTGTTAGATAAAATAATATAATTTATAATATAAATGATATATAGCTAGGAAATGTTTTTTGCTTTTGATTCATTTATTATAATCATAATAGTGATATTACCGATGTACTTGCAATAAAAGCTTAAAAAATGTTTATGTTATTCAATAGTAATGAAAATTCGTGAATTCTTGTACGTAATACGATTAAAACGGATGGTATCTAATACCGACAAAATAATTTATAATTTGTAATTTATATTATACGATACATAACATATAGATATAGCGTGATTATAAACTGTGAGACTGTAATAACAACGTATAAGCGAGAAAGTAATTTTATATTTTATATATAAGTGTAGCAGGAATCACTTTTACGATAATGTACTCTTTATAACGTAACTTGTATGATGTAATTAATTCTTATATTGTCGTTGTCGAAAATTATATAATATTAATTTATCGCGACAAATTCTTTTCCTACGGATGTGAAAATAAAATTGATATAGAAGTATATATATATATAATGTAAATAACTAGCTAAATACGTATGAAAATGTCTTTGTATCAAAGTGTAAATTTAAGAAATATAATGATATATACGCTGAATATGAGTATATATATATATATGTATATATATTATATAATTACAAAAATATAATTATATATAAAATATATAAATATATGTATATAATTAAAAGCATATTTATTTGGTATTATCTTTATTTAGTAAAGCATAAATATTGCTTATTTCTCTTAGCTACATTCTCCTATTTTTATTTTTATTTTTTTCTTCTCAAAACAAAATGGGTATTATCTCACATATTATCTCATGATTATCGTAAAATAAAAAGGACAATAGAAATTAACGACCTAAAGCATGAAATCCAATTAAAATTAATTCCATTTAAATTTTAACTTAATCTAAATTAATATCCATTTTTCGAAATTGTAAAATAATTTTGCAAAATAAAGTTTAATCGAATCACTGTTCTACTTCTCTATATTCTCTATAAGGCGAATCTTTCCAATTGTTCTTGATCGACTAGAATGTAATCTCGTTATATATGCACGATCATATTTGCAAGGCGAACTTACTTTCCAGAACGGATGGAATTCCAGATGACAAAATTGTCCGTGTCGTTTAGAACGACTATTTGAAGGGCCGATTGGTCTAATGAATGTCGCGTGGGCCATGACGGGGCGCGCGTGGTCGACCGTCTTATCTCTTCGGGAAAAGACGAACGGAAGGTGAAAGGAATAAATAGAAAAGAGAAAGAAAGAGAGAAGGCGAGGCCGGGTTATTCTTAACGATAATGATCGCGTCCGGGATATACGGCGACTTGGCGCAAATGAAAGTGCCACCGCGCGCGAGGGTGATGATAATGACGATGATGATCTAATCGTTACGAAGGCGTTCGTACGACGTTCAAGTCGGAGCGCAAGGAGCACGTGAACGGCTCACGCACAGCTATACGTGCTTAAAAAAGGGGAAAAAAACAAGGATATGAAATCAATCATCACAGATTTATTTGTCTCAGTCGCGATCTTCATGCGCTTTTTGCATCCGCAATCGCGGACGCAAATTAAATTGCGCGAGATGGATTTTAAATAATAATCGCATCGCTCTGCAGGTGTCTCTTTGCTCGTGCATCATTAAAGAGACGCATGTTAACGAGACTGGCACGTGGCACTCTATGTGCGCTCACGCGTAAATAGTAAAGTTCATTCGTAATTTCATTGCGTAACTTTCTCGTGACAGAGACATGCGTTCCGGAATATCGTTATATATACACGCACACAGGCATCGAGTATTCGCGTATGAACTATATGGAACTTCAATTACACGCCTCGGGGGAAGTCGGGGGCGCAGCCGTAGGGAAGTAAAACTGACGTACGGACGGGGGTAGCGCGCGGTGGCATGTGTGTGCTCTTGACACTTCATTGATTTCAGCTCGATAAAATAAATATCGCACCGATAAAAATGCCCCCGCGTTCACCTGCAAAGGTTAATTTGTCCGCAATGCGTTACGTAAGACGGATGAACGACTTCCCGGATATCTGACGAACGTCGGCGAGCCGGGATTCACACACGAGTATATGCCGCCACATTCATTAATCTTATATTAATTTAAAGTGATTGATTTCGCTAAACGCGATGTCGATATTATACTTCTTCAGAATCTCTATTCTTCGATCCTTTCTTGAGCTTTGATTTCTCATTGTCAAAACGCGAATTAGAAAAGCACACGCTTATTTAAGATTCCGACAATAGTGACAATATATAAGTGCAAAAATTATAAACGCACGAACAAAATTTACGGATATGCCTTAACGCATGAATTATTACAGTATTGGAACATATATATATTTGGTGCTAATGTTCTGTATCTAAATACTCACGTATCATAGCTTTAATTAGTACTAATTATACAATTAATTTGTTCTATTAATAATATATTATAAAATATATTATTTCGTATACATATATATATTTTTTTTTATTATAAAAAAATTAAATATTGAATTATTATGAAATAACCAACAGTTATGAGGCACGAAAGTTTGAATATTTAAATAAGAAGCAGGCGTCTCAAATATACCTCAATACACGCGCAAATTTATGTAAGGGCATTTTTTAATGACCCCACGCGCACGTTAAAATGCCATCACGACATTATCCCGGTTGTACGGAACCACAGCGACCGTTGGCATTCCTCAGGCATGCCTTTATAGCGTGACATAAGGGACGATATTCGTATATACACGGAGGCGTGCCCTCGAAATTTCGGCTTATCGCCGAGCTCCAAATATCTGGTCCGGAAGAGCCAGGTGAAGCTTCGGAAGGAGGCGAGTTTCTCGCCGCGAATTTCGGCCGGATATCGCGCGACTTCGGCTACGCCGAAGTTTCGCCGTAGTCCTCCACGTAAACGCGCGGGCGAGCGCGATAAAGGTCTCCTTCAAAGATGTAAGGGATTAAAGCGAGGGTGAAGGGTTAAAGCGCGTCCATGACCCAGCGATATCTCGGGGCACGAAAGTGGCGCGTCATGGCGCAGGTGGGTTACGATCGACGTGCCGGGCGTAAGTAATAGGAAGACGGACACGTAGGTATAAGCGTCAGTCAGTTAGTTAATAAAAGCCGAGAGCAATAAAAAGCTCCTCCTCTCCCCGCAACTTCCCCATGCCCGTCGACCCCGCGATCGAAACACCCGGCGTGTGTTGGAATATATATATATATATATATATATATGTATACGGGGATATTTTACCGTCGAGCCGCGTATGTGCCGTTTTCGATACTAATTCTCGCTAAAAGCTTTACGGCCACGCTCGTGACTTTGATACGGTCACCATTATTATATTTTGCGTAAAGCGAAAATTTACGGGGATGTTCCGCGCCGTCGGCGCGTTTTACGATTATTGTCGCGCGTTCCGGAGAATATTTCCATTCCCGCGATACCGGTGAATACAATTCGTTTCCTCCCTCCCTCCGGCCCTCCCCTCTCCAATTCACGAGCCTTAATTGCGTTTTCGCGATCTAAGAATATCCGGCCGCGATGCATCCGCGTCACCGCGGATTCTTCTTTAGCCGTATTAAAACGAATGACACCGTTTGACATCGCGTGCATGACTCTAAGAGATTCTAAGCGTATACAATTTCTAGAATCAGTACGGAATAATAAAACGGGAATTATCAATTCTGATGTGCTTGTATATCGCTGTAATAACGAGAATCAGTTCTAAGAATAGAGTGAAGAAAATTCTGATTGAAGAGAATTAAATTGTTTGAATAATTCAACGCGTAAATTGTTGATAGATAGTACATAACGTCATGAGTATAAATGTTACAATGAAAAATTGTCATAAAGATTTTTTGCATCTTAATCATTCTTATTTTATTTTTGCATATAATTTGTATTCTATTTTTAAAATTAATTTCAAATACCACAATTTTATGTCATTCCGTACGTGTAACATGCTGTGTGTTACAACACAACCTGTTTGAAGCTATATCTTGGCTATAGCTGATTTATGTATATATTTATGTTTGACGTAAAAATAATTGAAACATTCATTTTGTTTTCTTAAATGAAATTCGTTCTCTGAACGCATCCGATATCTAATAAGAAAAATTAATTTTCTAGGACTTTCCAGGATTTATTCATATGAGCCATGGCACATAGAAAAACTTAAGCCGTAAGACGTAAGCAGTAAAGAAATCAACATGTTGGATTTGTTATTAATTTTCTAGGAATTTCCAGGATTTATTCGTATGGGCTATGGCACATAGATAAACTTAAGCCGTAAGACGTAAGCAGTAAAGAAATCAACATATTGGATTTGTTATTATAATAACAAATCCAACATGTTGATTCCTTTACTGCTTACGTTATGGCTTTAAATTCTCGATTGTGATCGATTCGCTTACTGCTTAAGTTTTTCTGTGTGCCATGGCCTAGCTATTGCTTGAAATTTTAAAAAATTTGTATATTAAAAATGAAATAAATACGTGGACGTTGCAGAGAAAGAGAAAGCTAACAAGGAACCCTCACAAAGTGCACAATAGCTACAGCATAGAGAAAATTATCCAAGCATCTTGATTCTCCTCCCTTTGGATCACTTTCCACCCAACAACTAGACCGGAAATCAAATAAATATAAATAATAAAATAATAAAATAAATAAAAAATAATAAAATAAATTTTTTTTTTTAATTTTTTGATAAATTATTCAAGCATCTTGATTCCCTTTGGTTCACTTTCCACTCAAAAACTAGACCGGAAATAAAATAAATATAAATAATAAAATTATAAAATAAATTTTATTTTTTTTAATTTTTCGATGCCTGTCGTAGGGAAAACTTATTTAAAAAAATTTATTTTATTATTTATATTTATTTTATTTCCAGTTTAGTTTTTGGTTCGAAAGTGATTCAAAGGAAATCAAGATGCTTGGATAATTTATCGAAAAATGAAAAAAAATAAAATTTATTTTATTATTTATATTTATTTTATTTCCGGTCTTGTTTTTAGGTGGAAAGTGATCCAAAGGGAGTCAAGATGCTTGGATAATTTTCTCTATGCTATAGCTATTGTGCACTTTGTGAGGGTCCCTTGTAAGATTCTGAACTGAAAAAGTACAACGTAAAGTCATGAACAGACATTCTTCCATCGCACACCAAACGATCGCATTCCGAGAATCGCAAAAACGAATCTTCACGCTGACCGTTTATTCTCGAACGAGAATGTCAAGAGGCGCAGTGTACGCGCGAGAGAGAACAGGATCAACATTCGAAAGTTGTTCTCAATTCGGAATTCCGAAACCGCGGGTACATCCTTAATATACCGCGTGGCGCGTCTTCGGAGTCCGCGTCGCGAATTCTGAAAAACGAAAAAATTTTTCTGTATGTCGCAAAATTTTCAAGTTTCTCCGCGCGTCGTCCGCGAGTGCGCGTCGTCGCGCGGCCCGCGCGATCTCTCTTCCGCGCCGATAAGTCAACGCCAAGCTGATGCTTCTCGACTGATCGGCCACCCGCCAAGACACCGGTTTCGAGAGGAGAGGAGAGTCGGTGTTCTCGTCGGGGGAAAGATGCATTTTACACGACGTCGTAGGACCCCGGCGAAGCCGAGATCGACGTCGTGCAGTTTTCCGTCAGGGGAGGGAGGAGCAGCTGTTTCCAGGCTGGACGGTGCAGCGGCGGCGCGGCGTCGGCGGCGACGGACCGGCGGCGGCGGCGAACTTCAGTCTGGTCGCGACCGTCGCGCGTGGAGGTTGCGTCGCGGAGTCGCGTCTATTTTTACCGTGGTAACCGCGTCGTCCCGCCACGTGCCCGTATTCCGTGCGTCCGTTCCTGACTCTCTTCGGCGATCGCCGATTTGCGCGTCCGAATCTCGCCGGCTCCGAGTTCCACGTCGGGACGAGAGGACGCTCGCCGTCGTTGTTAGAGGTCGAGTGTTCACCTTCGGGAAGCAGCGTTGCCGATGAAAGTCCGCGATCGCTGGCTGGATCTTCTCTGCGTATAAGTAAGTCCTCTTTTTTGTTTCCTTTCTTTTTTCTTCGCAGACCCTTCACAAGCAACCCCGCCGATTGTCGACGCGCGTACGTGCGCGCCATTCATGTGATTAATTGTCACGCGAAACGCTTTTTTGTGTATCTATCATTAATGAGGGGGACACACACATTTTACTTAATTAATGTCTAGTAAAATGTGCCGATTCAGACACGTCAATGTATGTATACGTCAGTTAGACACGATGCTTTAAATCCGCGATTTTGTAGGAGTACTTTTAACTGATCCTTTCGCGAAAAAGTTAAGTTATTTTCGATCTAAATTATTCGTACGCCGGTTATATTAGATATTTTTTTTAGGTAAGATATTTTATTAGGTAATATTAGATATTTTTTTATTTCGTCGCGTTAATTTTGCATTATCAATTGTTTCTAACAAGTAATAATCAAATATAATCACGCGTTGCAATGATCACGCCAGGTGATACGAAGAGAGAGGTTAGTAGTATTATTTTAACGGGTGTTCACTAATGCAGCGCGACTTTGTTGGCTTTTTCTAAACTTCGCAATTAAAACGGATGCTCCTCTTCCTCCATTAATTTGATATCGATAGAATAAAAAATTGTCAATGGAATTTAAATTTTCGCGAATCTAAATCGTCCGCGAGTTCGTAGTATTTGATTGTAAATATCGACGAACCGGTCAAATTCTGCAAAAAAAACGGTGGTCCGGCACGTGTAAATGGACACAAATAGACGTTACGGCCAAGAAGCGTTGTACGAAGAAACGCGTGTCATGTTCCCCGGAAACTTTCGAATACGGCGTAAACTTTTTCCACCGAAAGGAAACTTAAGTACGTTATAGTTGCATGTGCGAATTTAAGTTATAATGCAAATCGCGGAAATCTCTGTCCATTTTGAAATTAATCTTGTATGTATAATCATATTGCGATTTAACACCGGAGTGTACGTAGTCGCGACGGTATATGTATATTTATATAACATAAAATGCGGCGTCTACAATGAAACTTAAAACTTACACAGAAAGAACAATTTTGTTGAAAGACCTAAAAATTTTTGCTAAAAACAGATCTGAAAATAATTTTTTATTGAATCATTAAAATAATTTGTTGGAATGTTAAAACTGATAAGTATTGTTATAAAACGTTTTGATATTTTTGCAATCATCTTGACTTTCGCACAAAATAATTTTGACTATTGAACAAAAATTATTTTCAGATCTGGTTTTTCAGCAAAATTGTTCTTTCCGTGTAAAGGTCCATCTACAATGAGAGTAGTAAGTCGTAAGCCGTAAGAAATTGACCAATCATAGTCAAGTATTCTTCTTTTATTCGACTGCGATTGGTTTAATTTCTTACGGCTTACGACT